ATCGCGCTAATTAAGAGATCCGCAAAGAAGTTAGATTCTCACGTTTTGTCTTTTTTGGAACGGTCTCGAATTATATTCTGATTTGTAATGAAGATTATGTTGGACAAGAGAATGAGGAGCAAGAAAGACACACACAGAGAGAGAGCTGGTCAATTGCCCTATTGTTATCGTCTTCTCTACCCCAAATCTTAAAACTCAAAACCATTGCATTTTATGTGTTTTTATTTATCTATAAGAATATGATTTAATCGGGAAAAGATCTGCATTTTTGTTTCTTGTTTTCTTTCCGTATCACCATTTAGCTTTCTTACATTTTCAAGATTTTTCTTTTGCTTTTTTTTTTTTTCTAGTATTGAATATTATTATTCGTTTACACATTTTACTCAGCAACATCACCGGGATTATCTACTCTACCGATTAACACGAGATTTGATTACTTGTTAATAATTTACGATGACGATCTTACAATTAAAACTCTACTGTAGATTCTTTTTGGTAATCCACAACTGGTTATTGATAGTATAATTGAATTTTCTTGAACAACAGCTTAAATAATAATAATAAAAAAAAAAACTTCCATGATACGGTTTCCTTTACTACTCTTGATTCATTTCTAGATACGGAAAACTCCATGTAAGTTTGTTTCCGAGACATACCTTTCATAATTGCTGTGTTACAAAACAAGGGAAAACAAAGCAAAGCAAGACAAAACAAATAAAAAAAGAGAATAAACAACAAAGCAATGGGTATATTTTAGTGCTGTGTAAAAATGTTTTACACATCTTCCCTATTTCTAGTTAATTCTATAAGAAAACTTGATACAATCAATCCACATAATTCAAGGATTGTGTTTGCTGTGTGTGTAGCGAATAAATCTAGAAACCAGTCAACGTAATAAACGTGAAAAACTGAAGAAGAAAGGAAAATATTTTTGATTGATATTATAATCTTTTTTTTATTTATACAATTTAACTTTGTTACCCTTTAATCATTCTTAACATTGTTATCTTTTTGTACTATTGTTGAATATCATGTGGTTTTAAATCTTGCATGGTTTATATTTTTCATTCTTTAAATTTGAAAAATTCATTCATGATTCAAGGACACGAATACAATTGTGTCTGCTTTTGGTTTCTTTTTCTAAAAAAAAAAAATGAAAAGAAGGTCGATAGATATAGGAAATTGATCAAAAATGAAAAACAATAAGACTTGATATTTATTGATTGTTTGCTGTTTAATGTTAGAATCATTATGACGACACACTAAAAAGTGTAAAAAGCATTCTGTTACATCTTCAACGTTACAAAAAAGAAAATTTCGGCGCATAATAAGAATAATATAATCCACACTTTTCGCCATTAGGTTTCAGTCGAAAAATATTGATAGGTCAGGGGTGGGTGAGGGGGTAGTGAAAGAATGATAAGATAAGATAAGTTAAGTTAAGTTAAGTTAACTACAAATCTCAACAACAAAGAATGGTGTGATACATGGAATAGAATTGTAAAAACTTTTGTACTCAAGTTTTGTAAATAACGAGGTTAGAGTTGCAACAATAAAATCGAAAATTACTCAGGGCATCAAACTCACACACTTCGATAATCATAAACACAACATTTATCATTAGAATCTTGCCATCTCGGTAATTCTCGCCTTATTTCTTCAACATCACAGGTATGGTATACCGTAAAACCAACAAAAAAAAGAAGATATAAATTTCATTTCACATGAAATGAAATGACTTTTCAAAACCTATTACACAATGTTACGAATGAGTAACACACACACACACACACACGTATATTGATAAATCAACTTCAAGATATTGTCATGTGCACCCCCATATAAAACATAAGGTTATTTACTTCCAAAGTCATTCAAAATTCTAGATTATATGGTAAACCTTGGCAAATGGTTCATCAATATAATCGTTTAGTAATTCAAGGTAATTGATAATTAAAACCTCAATCCTTAATTGTCATTCATTAGACTGTCACACCGCCGAAAGTTCTTCTTGTGTCAAATTTCTTTTTGAATATCTGTTCGTTTCGAGGGTGGTGCAACTATTTTTTTGATAACAACGTATTCCTAAGTGGAACGTGCATTAAATCATGTAAACTGTTTATGTATATGCAACTTACAAATTTATCACGCTTCCAGTCTAAAAAAGGGGAAGGGAAACTCACAATAAAAGAAAAAAAAAAATCAGATTCAAAGAGAAATAAAAATAAAAATAAAATAAAATAAAACAATAAATTTCAAGTTCAATTAAAACTCTAAAATCAGTCAGGTGAAATATGTGCCTTGTGGACCCGTGTCTTCTAATCTTTCTTTTTTTTTTTGTTTCTTTATTATGATATTTCACCTTATTCTTCTATGTATAGTTGTGCTTGTTTCAGGTTTAAAAAGTAACATCTAGAAGAAAGACGAAGAAGTAAAAGAATTCTTTGATGAAGTCTTATTTGAACAAAAGAACAATGACAATGTAAATACACATGTAGATTAATAAAGTGTAACAAAATATAAACTCAATAGTGGTAACCTTTCGGTATTTCTTTGGGCTTGTATATTATAGAACTTTAAATGAACAACAAAAAGGGCAATAGCTACCACCACAACCACCAACACACACATCTTGAATCTTAAACTTTCAATACGGTGGTTAAGCATCATGTCTAGTGATTAATCTTTAAATAATACAAAATAAAAGAAGGATCTTACAAAGTCATTAACTTGACGACGTGGTAAATGAGTATATTTACAAAGAACAAAAAACAAAAAAATCACCAAAAATAGTGTATTGCGGCTATTCTATCAATATTACGTACACAATATTTATACCTGCAATGATGGCTATTTCACCCTTTTACAATTCTTGCAGAATGGTTTGGATTTAGGATTAAGAGTTCATGCAACTTGTATTTTGTGGGACATTTTGATTAGTATCGTTCTCTCTCTCTTTTTTTTTTTTCCATTATCCGTTTTTTTTTTTCTCTGTATGTCTCTCGCAACCTATCACTTTAGCAATTTTACCTTTACAAAAAGATAAAATGAAGGTTAGATTGCTTGAATTAAATCAAATGAAACTAAAATTCCGCTTAGTAACAAAGAAAAACTTAGAAGAAGTTGAAGAAGAAGAAGTCAAATAAATTAAACAAAAAAACATAAGAAATTGTACTAGAAGTAAAAAGAATGAAGTAATGGAAAAATAGAATGACTTTTTTTTTGTTAAACACACATCAATATGTTCCACAAATTCTAAACTAAACTAAACATTAAACAAGACAAAGACAATGACAAAAGCAAATGCAAATGCAAAAGCAAAAACACCAAGTAGGAAAAATTAAATAAAGAAAAAAAAAAGAATAAAAAGGTTTCCCTTATTGTTGAATTTTGATTTTTTTTTTTGTTTTTGAAAGGTTTGAATAGAAATTAATATAAAAGTTGGGTTAAAGTACCTGATTCAAAAAAAAAAAAAACACATATACGTCTTAAGGTTGTAAAATTTTGTTTCCATATTTTTTTTATTCTATTATACCAACCAACAGCCTATTATTCATTAAAGAAAGTTGACTTCAACTTGATTTGCTAACACAACTCCACTCACCTTAATTGCAAATCTACGAAAAAAAAAAAATAATCAAAAATCTTACACAGGTCACGTGCAAGACTCCACACCATTTGAACACTTTCTTAAGTTTCCCTAATTTTTTTTTTACAACCACACAAAGGGCTCTTTCAAAATTATAATAAATTTTGAATAATTTACAACCACTTTCTTGTTTCAATTTCATATTACAATAGAAAGTACCTTCCTGGATCCCCTTTCATCAAGCATCATTTAAGACAGGGATAATATCCAGAATATCTGTAAACAACAACAGCAACAACAAGACAACCAAGTTTTTTCTTTTAACTATCCATTTTGAAAAAGAATCTCAATTTCATATTTGTCCAACAAAGAAACAGAGTTCGTAATTTCCATTCACTTGCATTTCATTTCACATCTAATTCAAGTGTCAATTTCGATTTTATTTATTGGTTACGGTACACAAGTTAACATTCCATCGGCAATAAATACTTAATCGAATCTCATTGATCATTTTACAATAGAAGAATAGAACAAAAAAGAAAAAAGAAATTTAGTACCCTCTTGAGTTTAATTTCAAATATAAAGACAGGAACAGAATTTCAAATTTGTTTTTTTTTTTTGGCCAATTCACAGTATTTCCGGAATAGATTAACAAAGAAGAAAGAGAAATCAACATCTTGGCTTTTCTATCATTTGCTTCTATTAATTGTATTCTACAGGTAAAATCGGTCATTTATTTTCTTCATCAGTTACACAACTAGAGGATAGATCATCTTTTTTTTTACTTATTCCATTCTATCATTGGAAATTCGAGGTGACTTATATCCATTTCACAAGAGTTAAATTTTAACTTCAACTTTCATTACATATTTCCTTGCAAAGAAGAAACTTTTTTTTTTAAATTTTTCTTCTCTGAAATTTGCTATATTTTTGCGCCTCATACATTGGAACGAATTTTTCCCAGTTTCTTTCAGGTCTGCTATTACATTTATTGTTCCAACGTTTGCGGTTAATAATTTCCAGACCAGGTTAGTTGTATTATCTCCTTAACAGTCAAACGTTATATCTTGTTGAATAATATTATTATCTAAACCAATCAAAAAATATCTTTAAGAATAATAATAATATTACATAACTATAATACAGATAAAAGAAAAAGAGAAGGTTCTAATATTATCTACTAAAAACTTTTTGGATTTTATTTAATATTATTAAATAAGAACGAACAATAGTTATTTTGTGTTCGCATCCCCCCTAGTTAAAGAACAATTTTTACCCACTCCAAAAAAAAAAAAAAGAAACCAAATTCTTTTTCTGCGTTTTTTTTTTTTTGTTTTGTTTAAATAATTCCAGGTGAGTTCTTTTTTTTTTATTTTAGTTTTTCTGACAGTTAAATAATTTCCATTTTTCCATGAGTAATTTGATACAACCTGTCCCTTCAATAACTACTCCTGCTTCAGCTGCTAGACGACCACTTCATATTAGTCATAGTCCTTCATTCGTTAACAATACTACTCCTGCTCCATCACAAGGTTCTAGATTGTCAACTCCAAGCATAATGAATCCTCCAATAGATATGAAGTCAAATAATTTGCTAAATCCTACTACCACCACCACAACAACAACAACCACAACGTCAACACCAACAGGAACAAACAACACATCTAATGATTCAAAGGGAAATAATACAAACTCCACTGGAAAAACACAGGTGGTGTTTATTCATAAATTATACGATATGTTACATGACGATTCTATATCTCACCTAATATGGTGGTCTCCATCTTTAGATTCGTTTTATGTTACCCCAGGTGAAGAATTTTCTCGAGCATTGGCCCAATATTTTAAACATACCAATATAGCGTCATTCATTCGACAGCTTAACATGTATGGTTTCCACAAGGTTAATGAGACATTTTTAAACCAAGAAGACCAACAACAACAGCAACAACAACAATCAAATAGATGGGAATTTAGACACTCCACTAATCAATTTAGAAAAGGTGATACTGAATCATTAAAACATATAAAGAGAAGAAGTTCAAAGACATTGAATTCCCAAAAGGAAATTGTTAACATAAAGTCATTACCACCAACTTCACAACCTACTGATTACGCATATTCATATCAAAGTGAAGAAGCAAATCATTATTTTGCTCATCATCACAGTATAACTTCAATACATTCTCCTGCTGATAATAGACCACGTTCTCCATCCACACCAATTCCACAACAACAATATCAACCACAACAACCACAACTACTTCCGCCTCAACAACAACAACAATATAATGGGCAACCACAAGTGTCTATGCAACAATCACCACAGGAATACATTGCTAGACCATCTATTCCAGCTCATCCTTCTTATGAAAATGCTACAAACTTCAAACTACTTGAATTGACTAATCAAATTAACTTGTTGAGAAATGATTTTTTCCATATGAATACTAGATATGAAACATTACAGAATGAATTAAAGTGTCAGATTGCTGATTCGATATCTGTTTTGGACATAGTGGAAGGATTATCAAAGAATGACAATAGAATGATTTCAGATGTACGAAATTTGAAGAATTTGATCAATCAAAGAATTCAAAGAATAAATATGATTCCAATACATCAAGCTCCACCACCACCACCACCACCAGTACAACAACAACAACCTCTGCAACCTCTTCAGTTGCAAGTTCCACAACCTGGTCCTCCACCTCCAGTTCCTCAACAACAACAACAACAACAGCAACATGCATCTATTTCATCAAGTTATCATCTTGACTCAGCCTCTAGTTCTAGAAACCCTTCTACTGTTAGTGCTGCTCCTCAATCATATCCATTGAACCCACATTACTCAATCTATAGTAATAATTCGGATTCTAACAATGGTTTTTTCAGAAAACGTGAAGATAGTAACAATTCAAAGAGAAATTTATCGGTATATGATCCATTACAACCTGTTCCTTCAAGACATAATTCTAGAATATTAATTGAAGAGCAATCGTCAAATTCTGTTGGGCAACAGCAACTTCAGCACCCAGCATTTAGAAGTCGTGCTGAATCTACATATTCTCCTTTAAGTAATGTCGGAAAATCAAATAATCAACAACAACCAGCCAAACCACCAACTCCAATAAACCCTCCACGTATCAAAACCCCAGTGAGTGAAGTTAAAAAACAACAACAACAGCAACAACAACAGGTGCAAGCACCTCCTCCTCCACCACCACCTCCATCGACTAAACAACCTGTTGTTCCCCCAGTGGTTCAACAAAAGCCTAGTCAAGTCCAAACTTCCAGAACAAATTCTTTACCTAATCCAATAACTGATCATTTAGCTCCACAATCACCTTATTTCATACAAAGAAATTCATTTACTTCTATATATGAACATCAAAAATCTTTGAGAATACCAAGTCCAAGATTCAACACTACAACTCCTCCTAGAAGTGTTCCAGAAAATAAAGAATCCTCATCATCAATGGCTAAAGAAACTAAAGAAACAGTTGTTTCTACATCTGCATTGCCAAGTGTTAGTGAATTGGATAAATCAATTAGAAGTCTGGTCAGTTTACCTCCAATCATTCAACATAAGGATGAACGTGAAGGTAATTCAAATTATAATAATGATGATAACGATACAAACAAAAGAAGAAAATTGGAATAATATTGATTTTATTTAAAAAGAAAAATGTATATATATACGCATAGGGGGATTAATTATACTATTAATTATTATTAGAATTATTGTTATTATTGTTATTATTTTGGCTCTTTTTTTTTATTTTTCTTTTTTGTTATTTTTTTGAAGGTGGTGTTCTTTCTTTATTTTGTATTATTTTCTTCTTTTTGTTTTGTTTACTTTTTTTTATGTTTAATTATTATGACGTTGTACTAGAAATATATATATATATGTATATATTAATGTAACTTTTTATAACATATGATTGAAATGGATGATTCTCTCGGTGTGTTTAAATACGTGTATTAAATCTATTAAAATCAATAATAATTATTCCTTTTATTCTTGTTCATCTTCTTCTTTCTTCAACTATAGACAACCTCAAGTTTGTTTGATTTCTCTCTTTAATGGCTCTATATAATTCAATTCTAATTCATCTTTAACATAAACAATGTAATAAGGAGTAGCCGTATTGGTTTCTAAGAAATTGAAAACTTCACTACTTGGAACTTCAGTAACAATTTCATCATTATATTTTCTGAAAATATCCCTATTATGGGGATCTTTAATATAAATCCAATAATGTCCATAACTTGCTTCTCCTCTATGAATGAAAATTGCAAATATATCATAACAAACCTCTTTGTAATCTGTAAATTGATTATTTATCAGATGATTAATCTTTTCAATTTGAGAATCTATTGTAAGTAATTTAGATGATAAATTATCAATTTCCAGTTGAATAATTTGAATGGTTGTTAAATCAATACTTAATGAATCATCAAGAATGATTCTTTTTTCAAGATATTTCTTTGTGATTTTCAAATTATCAATTATATTCAAAGAAGTGTCTTCATCGGTTTTCAATAATTTAGCCTTTTCATCTTGTAATTGTTTAATTTCTTTTTTCCATTCAAACACTTGGTTTCTCTTGCTAAGAATTTCTTCATCATCAGTGTCTAAATATCTATCCAAATAAATCTTATCACTGAACGGAATTGGTTCAATGGATTTATATGCCATTAGTCTCTCTCTATCAAACATAACTCTCTGTACATGGAATTGAAGAATTTGTGGCAATTCCAGAATAGTTATACTCTTTTTAACTAATCCTTCTTCTAACTTCACAATATCATCATTGAAATAATAATCTAATGCATCATAAATACTCTTTGGATGATCACTAACATTAATAATCAAACTAAAAAATCTTTCAAAGGAAACACGACTCTTCAAGGACTTGTCTAATGGAGTAATTGTTTGCTTTGTTTTACCATAAAACAATTTCTTAATCAAATCATATTGTTCTCCATCTTTATCCAAAGATTCTGGTGGCAACGCTGTTTCAATTTGGTAGATAACATTTTCAATACATTCAGTAACATCTTGTTGTCTACCAACCTCGATTGTGCTTTCTATTTGATCAGTCAGAATTGGTAGTATTTTTGGAAGTGAAAGATTATGATCATCGTCACTAGAAGTACCCGGAGTTTCCAATTCTTCGTCATCATCGTCAACATCATCGTTATTGTCACCGTTTTGTTCACGGGGTGGTAATGTTGGTGGTTGAGGAGTACCCTCGCCCATGTCAACAAGAATTGCATCGTCATATGAACCACCAGCATTGGTAACAGGCTCAGTTTCTTCATCAATCATTGTAACATCGTTGGCATTGCCAGTATCATCTGCTGCTGATGGTAAACCTGTTTGCTCTTCTTTATGCTCAATAATTAAATTATTGTCATCATCCTCATCAATCTTGACTTCAATTACATTAGCTTCTGTTGCCTCGGTACTCTTTGTTGATTTTTCATGTTGTCTAAAGTTGACTGGTTGCGATAATGGAAGGAAAGATAAGTATGCTAGTTCTTTGTTTGGTTCAACACATCTTTGATTACTATAAATCATTTCTTCAAACAAACGACGTAATTGGTAAATAAATTGGCTCGATCTTTGAACTTCAGATTTCTCAACTTTTCTACCCCCAACTTTTCTATCTTCAGAATAATCATCTGATTTGTAATCATTTTCATTGAAAGTCAAAATTAAATCTCTTAACGGTTTGATACAGAAGTAATATTGTAACAATGAATTTAAATAACAAGTATTCCCAATATTATCCAAACCTGCTGGCCAATTTTCAGCAGGTAACAAAGATGTATCAATTTTACCTGTTTTGATAAAACTAAATAGGATTTCTGATTTTTTAAATTCTGCGATTAAACGGAATGCACTTCTTAACAACCGTACATCCGATTCCTTAACTGATTTTGTCTGGAATGCATTAATAATCTCCGATTCGTTGGCTTTATTGTTGATTCCAAGTAATTCATAGGCCTTGTGAATAGTAAGATCATCCATTGCTGGTATTTTCACGCAATCAGGCAATTTGGTTTCCAAATAATTCAATAAGATAAAACTCTTTCGATAAACTGCTACCGATAACAAAGCTTTATTTAACAACACAACCTCATTGGACTCAGTATTAAATCCATTGCGTTGCAAAAGATCATCCAATTTGAATTCGTATGCAGTTATAACCACGTCATCTTCAGTTATTTCTTCAATAGATAACTCCTCAAGTGCTAAACTCTCAGGCAACAACTCTTCATGTATGAAGTCTGTGAGTTTCTCGGAATTTTTGATTTTAGCAATTTTTCTCAAATGATCATTGAAATATTGATAGTTTCTTGAATCATTCTTAATTTGTGTTCGGTACATGGCAATAATCACGTCGTCATCGATTGAGTCAATGTCGTTATTTTCAACTGCCAACCCTATAATCTTCATGGATTCAAGGTAATCACTAAATCCAATCAACTCATGTTGCCTAAAATAGCTATCAAGTTTGGTATTGGAATACCCGTTGCTGCTACTGTGGCGGAAATTACGAATCTGCTTCAAAGAATCGACATAGTAAAGACTATTAGCTCTATCTGATTGTACTGTTAACTCGAAGCATTTTATGATTAATTCATCCGGAAAGTAAGCAGATGCACTAAGGTTGATGAAGAATGGGAACCTGTTTGAATAATTGCTACTGAAGTTGGTAACACTGGTGTGTTTGTCAAATTCGACAATAGTATTGAAAATTTGTGACATATTCTCTGAAAATGAATACTGACTTTGGAATTCATTGGAAGATACCAGAAGATTCTTTGCAAAATAAATCAACTCTAGAATTTTTCTAATATACGATTCTCTTAATCCATGGGACTCGTTCAAATTAGGAGGAACAACCTCGTCACCATTCAGAGTGAATGACAATTTATCAAATAACAAATTAACATCAATCTGTGCGTCCATCACTGTGTTCTTGAGACTAATGGTTTTAATAATATCCAGTGATTTCAACATAACAGGACCTTTCAATACTTTGATCAAGGTTTTAATGCAATGAGTAGAATTTGGGATTGTTTCAGGAGACAAATTAGGATGCCTTTCAACACCCTCCAAGTATCTTTCTTTGATTATCTTTTCGTCAGTCAAAGGAATTAAATCTTCTTTAGAAAATTCCAGGTCAAACAAAGTCACCCTTAAAATTTGACCATTTGGCGAGTTCAAACTCCTATAAAAACTGTCATCAATAATACTCTCAAATTCGTTCGAATCATCTTGCAACAACTTCAAGTCATGATCCGAAACTCTGCTTTTTGGAATCACATGATAATTATGCTTGTCGATAATCTTAGTAACAAAAGGGTTTGAATTTGTTTCGAGAGCAAGAATTCGAAAGTGATAAACTTTCTTTTTTTTATCCAGTAATAATCCTCTCATGATATACAATACTTGTTGTGTGTCAGGAAATTCCAATTTCTCAACGGATTTGCAATAATCGACATCATTGTTGAGAATCAACGTATCAAATGGTAAAATAGATGAATCGACCACTCTACTTAGCTCTTCAGAATAGTCAATTGGCTTACTATTCAACAAGCTGAAGTTGTACATTTCCTTCACGGGAACTGTCCATTTCAAATCATCCAATATTCTATTCAAGGTTTTAAAAGGATACTTTAATAATTCTTGATTTGGGATCTTTGTGCGCAAATGTTGCGGTTCTGGTTGTCGTTTCGGTGGTGGTGGTGGTTGTGATACAGGTGTTGATTCATGAGACGATTCCGATATTGCTGATGCAGAAGATCTGAATGGATTATTTGAATGGAATTGATTTGGTGGGTTTTCTGGAGAATTATTTGTTTGTACTGAAACTGGTGATTCATCGTCTGAATCGTTGTCAATCTGGTTATCAGGATTACTTGTGGAACAGGATGACGATGAAAAATCCTTGTAATTCTCAGAACTCATAATTGAAATGAATGTCAACAACAATTGTCGATATCTACGTGATTAGATCAAATAAGAAGAAGTGGCAACCAAAAAAAAATACGGTAGATTCTGGTTATAATGGTATTAGTAAAAAAGAAAAAGGGAAAAGAAAAAAAGAATGTCCAAAGCGAAATAATCAATGTAAAAAAAAAAAAAAAAATAAAATGTGTCGATATCCGCAATCATACATTGTAGCCCGAAAGTAAAATATATTAGTGCATGCGAATCCAATGAATCTCATTTTTCTTTTTTTTGCGACTGCGTACGAATGACTTTCTGTTTCGTTTGCTTCACTCTCTCGCTATTGCATCGCCTTGAACTTCAGTCGATCTGCTTGACACCAGCGCGGTAACTTTTCGACCCAGAGAATGTGGGAAAAGAGAAGAAAGAAAAAAGAACGAAAAAAATATCTCCAAAATAAACATACAAAAACTGAAAAATCTCTAATAACCTTCCTACCAACAACAATAAAATGTCTCAGCCACAGGCTATAGATTTTGAAAAGATAAAAAATTCATCTGATGGGTCAATCTCAGGTATGATCTCGCTGGGATTTAATGAAGTTGTTGTTAACAACCCATACTTTGCTGCTGGTGGGGGATTGATGTTACTTGGAACCAGTTTAGCATTGGCAAGACTGGGGTTTGTAAAAGGCTCTGGGTTTATTTATAGACAATTATTAGTTGATCTTGAAATTCCATCCAAAGACAAATCGTATCTTTGGTTTTTAGAATGGATGTCACAATATAAACATAGAACTTCACGTCATTTGTCTGTGGAAACAAATGTTATAACCCATGATAACGGAGCCATAACTACTAATTTTTCCTTAGTTCCTGGTCCAGGTAAGCATTTGATCAAATACAAAGGTGCATACATGTTGGTAAATCGTGAAAGATCAGGGAAGTTATTGGATATGACAAACGGTACCCCATTTGAAACCGTTACTTTGACTACCCTTTACCGCGATCGCAAATTGTTCAATGATTTGCTTAGTGAAGCAAAAAACTTGGCTTTGAAAGCATGCGAAGGTAAAACTGTTATTTATACATCATGGGGCCCAGAATGGAGACCTTTTGGACAACCTAGATCCAAGAGAATGGTCGGATCCGTTATTTTGGACAAAGGAATTGCTGAAAGTATTTTGGATGATGTTAAGGATTTCCTTACCAGTGGTGAATGGTACCATAAGCGTGGTATTCCTTATAGAAGGGGTTATTTATTATATGGTCCACCTGGTAGTGGGAAAACTTCATTTATTCAAGCATTAGCTGGAGAATTGGACTACAATATTTGTATTTTGAACTTGTCTGAGAACAACCTCACCGATGATAGATTAAATCACTTGATGAATCATATACCAAATAGATCAATTTTATTATTAGAGGATGTTGATGCTGCATTTAACAAGAGAGAACAATCAGCTGACCAAGGTTATACGAACGGGGTTACATTTTCAGGATTGTTGAATGCATTAGATGGTGTAGCCAGTGCAGAAGAATGTATTACATTTATGACTACCAATCATCCCGAGAAATTAGATCCAGCCTTGCTTCGACCAGGTAGAGTTGATTTCAAAGTTTTGATTGATAATGCCACTGAATACCAAGTCAAACACATGTTTTTGAGATTTTATGAAAACGAAGAAGAATTATGTGACCAATTTTTGGCCAAATATAGAAAATTAGGTTTACAACATGTCAGTACCGCACAATTGCAAGGGTTGTTTGTATATAATAAAAGAGACCCACAAGGTGCTATTGAAATGATTGAAACATTACAAAACCCAAACTCTGTATTTAAATAGACATCTGTACATAGAACAATAACTATTATCCCCTGTATTTTTTAGATAGCTTATCATTTGCATTCAGTAGTCTTTCCTCTGTGACCTCACCTATTTCTCCAGCTCCACCATTTGATGGATCACCTCCTTCTTTTATCAATTCGTTGAGGTAGTTCATATATATCAAGTATATTAGAATATCACAGTTATCCAGTTTTATTGTTGTACTGACATTGGAAACGTCACCTGGATTGAGCTTTGATCGTAGTACTCTTCTAAAGTTAGCCTGCTTGTACGTCTTTCTGTTCTTTTTAATACCTGGCATGTTCCCTGCTGGTGATGTGTTGTTCTGGCGTGATAGCTGTTTCCGTTAGTTATGTTTTGTAGATCCTTGTGTATCGTTTTGCTATGGTTGTTTTCCCTTTTTTTTTTCTCCCAGTTTAAACATTTGCAAAAGTACACTACTTGTGCCTCTGAACATGTTTTATTTTTTATTTTTTTTATAGTTTTGCTCGGTTTTGTAATCTTGCTATTATCACCGCAATCAATTCTGTAACAGTACTTTCAGAAACCACGAGTCCAACACACAATATTTTTTTTTCTTCCTTCCTTCTTCTACTATCGTTGATTTATTTATTATTTTTTTTTTTTCGAAGTTATTTCTACTATTCATATTTTATTACCTCCTAATCGATATCGCTCATTTTATCAACCATCTCCTAGTGTCAATTGATTCTGAGTCCAATTTTGCTCCAGTCTCGCCCCCTCCTTTCGACATTACAAAACATACAGAAATATCTGAATCAAATTAGTAACAGTTTTACCCCTCATTATGAAAGTTTCCCTATTTATCAATTTCATTATTCTTTCATTTCTATCTAGATTAACAAGTTCAATTAAAATTGAAAATGAACAAGATCTTGAAGCCTCATTCAACAGAATAAAAAAGTCACTTGCCATTCATGACATCTTTGAAGTTAAGCCAGAAATTGCTCGCCGTGCGAAGCCAGGCAAAGGTGGCAATGGCGATGAGGATGGAGATAAAGATTGTCCTCCATGTTTCAACTGTAATCTTCCAAATTTTGAATGTACTCAATTTTCCCAGTGTAACACATTCACAGGACATTGTGAATGTCAAGATGGATTTGGTGGCACTGATTGTTCGGAACCATTATGTGGTTCCTTAGGTGATGGCAACTCCAAAAGACCAATAAGAAAGAAGAAAGAGTGTGTTTGTAAACCTGGTTGGACAGGTATAAACTGTAATTTGTGTGAAGCTGACCATGTTTGTGACCAATTCATGCCCGAAGGGTTAAAGGGGACTTGTTATAAGGATGGTATTATAGTTAAAAAGTTGCACCAAATGTGTGATGTCACGAATCCAAAGATTCTTTCAATTTTGAAAGGTCAGATCCCTCAAGCTACCTTTTCGTGTAATTCAACATCTGGTAATTGTAATTTCCAATTTTGGATCGATCAAATTGAATCATTCTATTGTGACTTGAATAAGTGTAAATTGGATTATGATTTAGCCGGTAATACAACTCACTATAATTGTGAAGAAGTTTCATGTAAATGTTTGCCCGATAGAATGCTTTGTGGTCAAGAAGGGTCCATTGATATCTCGGAATTTTTGACCGAAACTATACGGGGTCCAGGTGACTTTGCATGTGATATTGCTTCCAAGAAATGTCGTTTTTCAGAACCAAGTATGAATGATTTGATTCAAAGTGTATTTGGGGATCCATATATTACTTTGCAATGTAAAGCAGGTGAATGTGTACACAAGAGTGAAATTCCAGGATACACTTTACCAGATAGCCCAAAATTAACCCTTGGAAATATATTCGTTATTATTGGAGTTTTATTGGTTTGTATTTTGGTGGTTGTTACACTTTTACGTAACATCAGTGAATCTGCCTTATTCAAAAAACCAGGTTATGAACCATTAGAATCGGATCCTAGCGTAATGAACCAAAATTTTGAACCAACTACCTTGTCGTTTGAAAATATCAGTTATGAAGTTGCTGAAGGACGTCAAGTTTTGAATAATGTTTTTGGATTGGTGAAACCCAGAGAATGTTTGGCTATCATGGGTGGCTCGGGTGCTGGTAAGACAACTCTTTTGGATATATTAGCCGGTAAGAATAAAGGTGGCAAAGTTGGTGGTTCTATTTACGTTAATGGCAATGCTATTGATTCAGAATACTATAAATCTATTGTTGGTTTCGTTGACCAAGAAGATTATTTGATTCCAACTTTGACGGTTTACGAAACGGTTTTAAATAGTGCATTGTTAAGACTTCCAAGAGAAATGAGCTTAGCACAAAAACAAGCTAGAGTTATTGAAGTTCTTAATGAATTGAGAATATTGAATATCAAAGATAGAGTTGTTGGGTCGAATTTCAAGAGAGGTATTTCTGGTGGTGAAAAGAGAAGAGTTTCTATTGCTTGTGAATTGGTTACTTCTCCTTCTATTTTGTTCTTGGATGAACCAACTTCCGGTTTGGATTCATATAATGCTAGAAACGTGATTGAATGTTTAGTTAAGTTATCTCGTGATTATGACAGAACAGTTATTTTCACTATCCACCAACCAAGAAGTAACATTGTTTCATTGTTTGATAAATTGATTTTGCTTAGTGAAGGTGATTTGATTTATTCCGGAGATATGATCAAATGTAATGATTTCTTTACGAAGAATGGTTATAAATGTCCACTTGGTTATAATATTGCTGACTACTTGATTGATATCACTGTTGATCACAACAAAATTGTCAAAGTGACCAATGCCGATTCGGAAGTTGTTGCGGCTTCGTCTACTGACTTGCACGATGCTGATATTCATGCGGCCTTCTTATCCAACAGAACAGCAAGCCAGGAAGACACCACTAGAGAATGGGAGCATCTTGCTGTTCATCGTGATGAATACAACACTGATATTATTGGACATCGTACCTCCAAGGCAGGAGAAGAAGAGACCATAATCCGCTTACGTAACAAGCTACCAACATTATTTGTGGAATCTCCTTTAGCTATTGATATCAAGCAAGAAATAACATGTGGTAAAGAAAATCCAGTACCAGTGGAACGTAATAGTCACGATATCAAAAAGGCTACATTCTTTACTCAGATTGTCATTCTTTCATCCAGAACATTTAAAAACTTGTATAGAAATCCAAGACTTTTATTGGCACACTACGTGTTGTCGTTGGTTGTTGGTTTGTTCTGTGGTTACTTATACTACGATGTTACAAACGATATCAGTGGGTTCCAAAACAGATTAGGGTTGTTTTTCTTCTTGTTGGCATTCTTTGGATTTTCGGCATTGACTGGGTTACACTCATTTGCGAGTGAACGAATTATATTCATAAGAGAAAGAGCCAATAATTATTACAATCCATTGAGTTACTACGTGAGTAAAGTTTTCTGTGATATTGTTCCATTGAGAGTGTTGCCACCAGTTATCTTGATCAGTATTGCATATCCGTTGGTTGGATTAACTATGGAACATAATGCATTTGTCAAAACTATACTTGTATTGGTGTTGTTTAACGTTGCTGTTTCACTTGAAATGTTGATTGTTGGAATATTAATTAAAGAACCTGGTACATCTACCATGATTGGTGTGTTATTATTGTTGATGTCGTTGTTATTTGCTGGATTGTTTATCAATAGTGAAGATTTAAATGCTGAAATCAAATGGTTAGAATGGATTTCAGTTTTCCATTACGCCTATGAATCGTTATCTATCAATGAAGTCAAGGACTTGATTTTAAGAGAGAAGAAATACGGTTTATCCATTGAAGTACCAGGTGCAGTTATTTTAAGTACTTTTGGGTTTGATGTTGGTGCATTCTGGAAAGATATCTCATTCTTGGGTGGTTTATCAGTTGCGTTTTTATTCTTGGGATATATTTTCTTATTTTATTTTACAATTGAAAGAAGATAAAGGACGAAAACATCAAAAGATATATTAAACCGAACGAAGTAGAGAGAGAGAAAGAAGATGTATGTAAAATCTATACGTAATTAATAATTAAAAGCATCAAATAAACAATTACTATTTTATTCTTTTTGCTCATTTCTTTTCTTTATCAAATTTGATTAGTTGCCATGATTTGCTTATAGATTTGCTGTTTCAAATCTTCAACATCCAACTGTTTTTTGTCCATGTCAAACTCAAATTCTTCCACTGGTATTGGCAGGGTGATTGGTTCATGAGATGGATCATGATAAGCCTCTAAATATGGATGTTCTAATGCTTCTTGGACTGTTATTCTTTTTGAAGGGTCAAATACTAACAATTTTTCCAACAAATCAATTGCCAATGGATTTACAGTTTCTCTTGCACGAACTTTGATTCGTCTATAGGGATGATTATTAACAAAATCAGTAAGATCAATCTTAACTCTATATGGTAATGATTTAACAAATTTTTGTGCTCTTTCTGATTTTATAATCTTTAAATCTTCGTCACTTGGACTACCCAAAACTTCAAAAATTAAACGTAATTGATTTATATAATCAGTTCCTGGAAATAAAGCTTTATAGGTTAATAATTCTGCTAAAATACAACCAACTGACCAAAGATCAATCGCGGTAGAATAATTAGATGCACTCAACATGATTTCTGGAGCTCTATACCATCTAGTGGCAACATACTCAGTCAACATGGAGATTTTGGGGTTTGTTTCTAAATTATAATGTTTAGCATCTAATCTAGCTAATCCAAAATCGCAAATTTTCAAATCACATTGTTCATTGACAAGGATATTTGATGGCTTTAAATCACGATGAATGACTTTGGCGCTATGCATCAATTTTAAACCTTTTAAGATTTGATAAATGAAATATTGGACATGTTGATCACTTAAAACATGAGTGTAAATTATATTGTGTAAATCCAGTGGCATGTATTCTTGGATAAGATAAACTTCATTAAAATGAGCGTAATCTAATGGTTTTTGAACATCATACAATCTAATTATATTTTCATGACATTTGAATTTGTTTAATAGTTTTATCTCTCTTAAAGTACGAAGACAGAACAATGGTCTTTCAAAGGGTTCGATTTTCTTGATGGCAACTTTTGTTCCTGTAGGAATATGAACTGCCAATGCAACAATTCCATATGCACCTTCACCAAGTATCTTTATAACCTTGAAGTTTTGGGAAATATTGAATACCACCTGACGACTTTCTTTTACATCTGGAAGTCTAGCCATTTTGTTGTAGTTAGAATGATAGATAGAGATATGAACAAAAATTTCTATAAAATATATTTATATATATATATATCATGATGTAGAAAAGTCCTTATATATATATAAATCATGGTTATCTCTCTAATTTAGTAAAAATGGTTACTATTATTAATATTAGTATTATTATTTTCTTTTTTATTTTTCTTAAATTGAGTTAATTTTTAACTTGGAAATACCTTGAGCCTTTTTTTGACTTTTGGCGTGTTGCAAAATGAGACATCATTAAAATTAACGAGAAATTGAGTTTTTATTTACTAAGGGAGAGAATTAATTATTACTTGTTTCATCTTTTAAACTTTGAAACACGCTATTAGTATCACTGAAACATACAAAACAAAAAATTATCACCATTTATAAATCTAAAAATTCATTGATATATATAACAAAACAAATAAAAAAAAAATAAAAAGTCTAATTCTGTGAGCTTCTCTCAACCAAATCTATAATCTGTTGTTTATTAGGCCAGAACCCCCAACCTAATTGCAAAGCTTGATGTAGTCTCACATTTAATTTATCGGCAAAACTCCAAACCAAACCTGGATCTCTTAAAAATCCTCTGCCAATCAAAACCAAATCAAAAACACCTTCTTCCAAGTATCGGTTATCTTCTTCCGCATCATGATCATACCCACCAACGGAACTAACCAACAATTTATCACCAACGTGTTCTTTGATAGCACGTGACAATGGAAGGTGAATTGGTTCTGTTTTCTCTTTAGCAATACCAGATCTTGCTGCTTGTCTATAATCATTACCGCCAGATGAAACGTCTAATAAATCAATTCCCTTTTCAATTAAGATATCAGCTAATTTTTTGGAATCTTCAATGGTCCAAGCTTCTGGATCAGGACTGTTTTCTGCAGCTGAGATTCTAAGAAAAACTGGGGTATCCTTTGGGATCTTGGATTTGACACTATCAATGACTTCTTTTAAGAATCTGGTTCTGTTTTCAAAACTACCACCATATTCATCGTCTCTCTTGTTAGAAATTGGACTATAGAACTCATTGATAAGATAACCATGGGCACCATGAATTTCAATAACATCGAATCCACTAATTTCAACTGCTCTTCTAGCAGCTTCACCAAAGTCATTAACAATACGCTTGATTTCTTCTTTGGTCAATTCATTTGGAGCTGGGAAATTCCCGTTTGGTCTAAATGGGATTGGTGATGGACCAACGAGTTTATCTGGGAATCCACCAACTGATTCATCAGCAATTTGTTCCAAATGTAAGAATGGTGGTTGACCAGATGCTTTTCTACCACCATGATTGATTTGAATAGCAATTAATTGTTTTTGAGAATGAGCATAATCAACAATTGGTTTCAATTTTCTTGCTTGTTCATCTGTCCAAATACCTAAATCATGTGGTGATAATGGACCTTCAGGAGAAACAGCTGTACTTTCCACAATAGTAATACCAGGACCACGTGTAACCATTGCACCGTAATGAATCAAATGGTAAGGGGTAGCCTCAAGGTTTTCATCTGCAGAATATTGACACATTGGACTAACCCCGATTCTGTTTTGTAAAGTAAGTTTACCAATTTTCAAAGGTTGGAAAATCTTTGGGATAACTTGATCTGGGGTTTCTCTATAGAAAGTACCTGCACGAACTGGTTGTTCTGGGGTATAGTAGTCTACTTCTGGTGCCCCAGTAATTTCATCAGATGGTTTAACTTCGTATGATACAGTCATAGTTTTGTGTGATTGATAGTGAGGAGGATAAATATTGAAAAAAAAAAAAATAAAAAAAGTTGGACGGATAGTACCAGGGATATGCAACTCTTTAAATATACATCAATGCTTATTAATAAATCATACGACATACATATTTCCAATTATTCAATGCACTTGAAAGAAACAACTACGGATCGCGCAAAGATAGATCCGGGTTTAGTATTGCTTTTTTTTATAAAAAAATTTTATCTTCTTTTTCCTTCTATTGTTAATACGTTTCCGCAACCTTCCCCCGAAATATAATTTTAATTTCTTTTCGGTATTGGTTAAAAGGTATTTCCGATCAGTGGCTTATTACTCACTCTCTATACACCTTGTTCCTTGATAAATGTAGGCTCTATGCTAAATAGTAACACGATCCGATATTAAGTAATTGATTATTTCTATCCCCACCATTGGTATGGAGTTTGAGTTTACGAGATTGCAGCGGTTAATCCCCCCCCCCCAAAAAAAAAAGTGCTTACTAATTCTTCTTTCGGAAATGCTTACGGCAAATTTCTATTTTAAGTATAAAAGCGAACTCACCACGGAAGTATACCCGTGCAATATTATAGTTCAGATAGATACACAGTCGTTGACGTTATAATTAATAACAAGTGAAAACTATGATGTAGTTTTTTTTCATGTTAATTTGTTACAAACTTTAGCTAAAAAAAGTAGAGCATAATTATAATGATGATTTGACTCAAATATAAGCAAGAATCAATACCATTTATTCTTGATAGATCCACATAGGTACTATGATATATTTCCACAACATTTGGAGCATCGACGAACATCTTTGGTTTGAAAGAAGAAAGTTTATGTATTTGTTCTTGTCATTTGTCATATTTGCATTTTCCTGGGGTCTTCCCCCTTCAACGAGTTGCTTTGTTTGTCCGAGTTGAATTTACCAACTGGATTTACTGGCGGCATGACCGAGTGGTTAAGGTGAAAGATTAGAAATCTTTTGGGCTATGCCCGCGCAGGTTCGAGTCCTGCTGCCGTCGTTATTTTTTCTGCCTCTTACAGATAATTTATTTTTTTTTTAAACAGAAGATTGGCGTTTTTATCACTAATACAAATTACCCAATAGGTACATTTTTCATTCTTTATTATATTTGACACCTATATCCGCACTGGTTGCGAAAGGATAGAGTTTCAGCATCCCCTCCTTAATAGCCTTCATTCAAAATCAATTTTGTCGGGTGAAATGGAACCGGATCAACAAAAATCATGTATCAGCCAAGGGTTATTCTATACATATTCTTAAAAAGCTATTGCCTAGCATTCCTTTTGTTTGTCAAAAGTTCTCCACATTAGTTGTATCAGATGTAAACATAACAATATGAAAGAAACGAAATCTTCATCGCCAAGAAAGAAATCCTATTTATACATAAATTGAATCAAAGAAGAGATGTAATCAGAATCGGAATCTGCAAAAAGCATGGAAGGGTTTAGGAAATCGTTCTATTCAACATTACGTAGTAGATGAGGTTTGTTTTGATTAATAGCACGGAGAAATCGCGTTTCTTGGTCAAAGAGGAAGTATTGCTGCAAATCAAAAATGATTAAGCTTCAGAACAATATTGGCAAAAGTCGTACTATATTTGTGCAATTACATAGCTGTTGCCAAGAGGAATTGCAAATAGCATCTATGTACACAAAATGTGGCTCATCATTACAATTTGCATTAGATTCGACACGCTCAGATAGTTAGTATGAAAACTGTGTCATCCTGTAGATATTGAAATTAGTTTCCTTACTCACATTATTTATAGAATTCAATTAATATCAATAAATTTAGTTATTGTTCTTCCGTGTTATCTTTATTAAAACTGGTTATTTCCACTTTCTTTATAGTAAGGAATGTTTGAGTACTATCTTGAAACACAGCATATCTCAGTGTGGATCATCAAAACATTATTTGTCGCAGATCTTTCCGTTCTAGTGTTTTTTTTATTTTATATTATTTTTTCCTTTCCATCTGACATCCCTTCTTTTTCTTTTACTACCAGAGAGACTAATGCTTATTTCCATCGGTATATCCATCAATCCATTTGGGCTTGCTACGACCTTTGCCAAGAGACTCCAATATTATTCCCTGAAAATCATGAGACATACCAGTTGTATTCTCAAGAAGTGATAAGAAGTTCCAGATTGCCTCATTTTTTGAACTGAGAAGCAATTACAATAATCAAAAGGGTCAATTTTAAACCATGATAACTGCAGAAATTGGCCCATTTTTTTTTGTAAAGAGATTGCTATATCTCATACCCAGTTCCGTTTAGTCATCATCACATTGATGATAATCCCATCACAGTGATAAACCATTTAGCGTGTTGCCATTGTCACCTTTGTTTTAGAGGAAGATCTGTTCCCAAATAATCAACAGAAAAATAAAGAACATTGAAAAATTCTCATTCTTGACACATTAGATAATTCACGAAAGGAAAATGCGAAAATTTCTAGTTGTTGCAAATTACACTTGCATTGCTTACGTATTCTATCCGCTATCAACAGCATAGAGCCAAAAAAGAAATCCAAGATTTAACCGTTAATCATTGGTTTTGAAAGATCGATTTACATAGGAAATATTACAATTCAGTATAACAAAAGGATTATGAAATTACATTACTATAATTTATCGATAGGCAATTCTGTTTTGTTGTACATCTTCCTTTGTTTTCCCAAATTCATCATTTCTTACTTATCCAAATTTCGTAATTGGCCAAATCCTTACGTTTTCCGCCTAAGATTGTCTATATAATACATAGAATCTCCACTTTGATAATTTTTGTTTTAGATAGACCATAATCACCAACTTCAATCAATTATGAAACTAATATTTTATTCATTCTTGCTTTTCATAAGTTCTACATTTGCATTACAGACACTTCCAGATTTCATTGGAAAGACATATCAAAGTTACGGTCATTCTCGAAGTGTTTATGCATGTAGAATGCATATTCATAAAACCGTTAAGGCTTGTTCGGTTGTTGATATACAAGATTATGGATGCATGTGTACAAACAAGGATGCCATCAACACATTTATTCAGTGCTATGCCTACTTCCAACAAAATTCAACAGACGCAATTAATTTCTTTGTCAACTATTGTGAAGCTTTTGGTAATACCACGAGTGATATTGATCAAATAACTGATGCGTATGAGAATTACATCAACACTGGTTCATACTCTGTCATCCCTCCTATAGTCGGAACCAACAATACTTATGCTAGTTTAACAGGTACCCCTAGAAATCAAACAGAATATTCACAATATGCATATGGATTGGAAGCTTCCATAGACCAATTCTTGACCAACTGGCAAAATTCATTATATTATGGTATGGCAATGAGTTCTTACTGGGGGTTTGTCTTACTAATTGGTGCTGTTTCTAACTGGTGCCAGTATTTACTTCCTGGTTTGATGACTGATTTGACTGGTCCAATTTCCAACTGGTGGAGAAAACACATTACATTACCAGCTACTTTTGGTACTAAAAAAGCACAAGAATACACCTTTTTATTTAAATTCTTAAAGGGTTACATGCCGACAAGAATGGAGTCTATATTTACCAGTGGGTTTTGTTTAGTTGTTATCATTGTTTTATCGATCAACACCTATTATTCAGTTGGTAATGAAGTTATATTTACTAATTATGTTGCCCAATTGAGATATCTCGCAAATAGGACTGGAATCAATTCAACTATTCTAATGCCTTTCCTAGTTTTGTTTGCTGGTAGAAATAATGTCTTGCAATGGATTACTAGATGGAACTATGGTGTTTTTATGATGTTTCATCGTTTCATTGGAAGAATGATTTTCTTGTTTGTTGTTTTGCATGCTGTTACTTTTAGTATTGCTTTAGGGGTTGATTATTACCCACTTATGACTTTACCATTCATGATTTGGGGAACTGTGTCTACAGTTGCTGGAGGTATCATTATGGTACAGGCAACTTTGTACTTGAGAAGAAAATGGTATGAAACTTTCTTGGTTCTTCATATTCTCATGGCTCTTCTTTTCATTATCGGTGGTTGGGTTCATATTAATTATCTTGGTTACCAGTGGTGGGTGTTTGTTTCTATTGCACTTTGGGGAATCGATAGAATTATTAGACTCATTCGTATCTTTAAATTTGGGTTTCCAGAAGCTGACATCACAGTTATGGCTGATGAGACTTTGAAAATAAAGATTCCAAGACCCGATTCTTGGAAGCCTATTCCCGGAGGTCATATTTTCATTCATTTTTTGACACCTGCTTTATTTATCCAAAGTCATCCATTCACTTTTAGTACTTCTGTTGAACAAGAAAACACCATTGTGCTTTACACCAAAGTTAAACAAGGTGTAACTAGACATTTATATAACATGTTTGTTAATCAACCGGGAAGAAACGGGAAAATCAAGGTTGCAGTCGAAGGTCCATATGGTGAATGTTGTGCTGCAGGTAAATCACAAACCGCTGTGTTCATTGCTGGTGGTAATGGTGTTCCAGGTATGTTTGCTGAAATCTATGATTTGGCTAAAAGGTGCACCCCAGATTCAAACAAAATCTTGAAATTCTATTGGACCATTAGGGAATATAGAAGTGTTCATTGGTTATATGAAGAACTCAATGAATTAAGAAGATTCAGTAATGTCGAAATCACAATTTTTGTTACTAAACCAGAATCCAATACATATATTGAAGAGTTGAGAACAAGAATACTCCCTGGAAAATTTCCTAGTGTTGATGATTTTGATGGAGCCACCACAAGCAGTTGCTTTGAAAAATATAACTATGCTGATGATGACAAATCAACCATTAACGTATTATCTACTGAACTTGGTGGAACTAGAATGGATCCTGAAGATATTAAAGATGCCATCAAGGTTCAACTTCCACATGTTTATTTCAGAGAGGGCCGTCCAAAGATCAAAGATATAATAACAGAAGAAATAGAAGATGCTCCAGGTACCATTGCATTTGTAACTTGTGGCCATCCCGCAATGGTTGATGATATTAGAGCAGAAGTTATTAAACATGTTGGTCAACACAGTAATAAGAGAATTGATTTCTACGAACAATTAATAGGCTGGGCTTAGATAAATAGTTTGTTTTTTTTGATCATTAATTTTAATATAGAGATTTTTATTGTACATTTTCTAGTTCGTACAACGATATAAATCCACAATTATATAGTACTAGAGTAACAATAAACTGATTTAAAGTTTAGATAAAGAAATAATCGTTCATCGTATAATTGTTCTCTTGATACCCCCTAAATATCGCTAAGCGATTTTTAAAAGATAGCCGATATGCCACAGTTTGATCAGGTAAATAATTAGAATTATTTTTCATGAGATAAATCTTGGGTGACTCATGAGAGATTTGTCTTAGTTCTACACATTTGCATCGCTTTCAAAAAGAGATGCTATAACTAATACTTAAAAGACTTGCATTACATTAGTAAGGCAGTCAGATTGCGGTACATCAAATAAATGTGTAATTAAATTGGGCTATCTGTAATTGTCGTACGGCAAAACTAACGTCTACATGTAATACATAAAATTCGCAATTATTAAATTCAAATTGCCAAGACCACATTTGAAAATTTGCTAACCAGGAAGGTAATGGTACAATTAGAGGAACGAACGGCATTGAACATGATTACTGGTGTTTGATTCCGAGTTAAAAATTTGAGCCACAATTTAAACAATTTGATTTTTGGTTTTGTGTATCGCGATACATAATTATTTGCAATATTGTTAATAAGAAATTGAGTGAAATAACAGGGACATCCTCTGTCTTTTTAGTTTTGCAAGCAAGTAGACTCGTAGTTTTAAAAAGGACTACAAATAGGAAATGATTTCCTCCAAGGTTCCAATATTTTCGATGTTTACAATGAGTCAATAAACTTAAAATGTCGTTTTTAAGAGAGCCACTTAGCAGATTGAAATGGGGGATTTTCCCAACCAGAAGAATAGTGGATGAAGATGAACATGGAAACTTTATCAATGATGATCCAACAGATGTTGATGCTGATGTTAATGATGGTGTTGATGTTCCAAGTGACACTAAACTTGAAAGTGATTCTGATGTAACTGATAGCAACCCGTCTATTTTGGAATACCGTGATGAAAAAGATCGTCCATGGTGGAAATTCTTTGATGAATACGAATATAGAATCACCACAGAAACCAAAACTAAACGAAAATTCTTTGACTGGTTTCATCCTGATGATACCCCTGAAGAAAAAAGGGTTATTTTAAAAATAGATTTATTATTAACTTTTTACTCGGTGTTAGCTTATTGGGTCAAATATTTGGACCAGACTAATTTGACAAATGCGTATGTTGGTGGTATGAAAGAAGGACTTGACATGAAAGGAAATGATTTTGTGAATACTGGGGTCATGTTCTCGATTGGTAATATTGTTTTCCAAATTCCATTTATGTATATTATTTATGCATTACCTTTGAATTATGTTTTACCATCCTTAGATCTTGCATGGTCCATATTGACAGTTTGTTTGTACAAATCTGGTAATGTTGCTGGTTTGAAGGCAATCCGATTTTTTATCGGGGCATTTGAAGCTCCATCATATCTTGCCTACCATGCTTTATTTGCTTCATGGTACAAGTCAAGTACTGGGGAAGTGACCAGAAGAGCAGCCGCTTATTACACGGGACAATATATCGGTGTATTAACCAGTGGTCTTTTATCTGGTTCCATAGAAAGACACTTAGGTGGTGCAGGTGGTCATGAAGCGTGGCAATGGATTTTTATAATGGATGGTATTATCTCCGTTGTTGTTGGTCTAATTGGTTATTATATGATTCCAGGTACTCCAGAAGATTGTTACAGTATTTTCTTGAGCGACGAAGATATAAGAATTGCCAGAAGAAGAATGAGACAAGATCAGAAAGACTCTAAACCAAGAGAAAACGCTGTCAAGTATTTCTTTAATGTTGAAATCTGGAAGAAGATTTTCACATCTTGGCATTTTTATGTGCTTTCATTATGGAATATTTTTTGCTGGAATAATTCAAATGGTAGTTCTGGTGCTTATGCTTTGTGGTTAAAGTCCTTAAAAAACGAAGATGGTACTCCAAGGTTTGGTGCAGGAGAATTACAGGACTACACAGCTTTGACTCCAGGATTGGGGTTGATTTGGTTGGCAATAACGAGTCTTATTGCCGATCTTTTGAAATGTCGTTGGGGTGCAATTTTGTTTTCTCAAGTGTTCAACATGACGGGTAATATCTTATTGGCGGCGTGGCATATTGCTGACGTGCCAATGATTGGCTGAGCTTGCAATATTTAGCTGGCTATGGCTCCGGTTTTGTATTCATGGCAAGGGGATATTTGTCGAAAAGATATTAGAGAACGACAAGTGGTTTTAGTTGCCATGAATATTCTTGCTCAGCAATCAACTGCATGGATATCTGTTCTTGTTTGGAAAACTGTTGAAGCTCCAAGGTTCTTGAAAGGTTACACTTTCACAGCTTGTAGTGCTGCTGCGTTATCCATTTGGACTATAGTTGTGTTGTGGTTCTACAAGAGAGAAGAACGTGCAAACGCCAGAGAAAATGGCATCGTTCTTTATGATTCGTCCAAACAGGATATAGAGGAAATACAGGTTCAATTAGAAGGAGAAAAATCTTTATAAACCTGACGTATTGTTATCTTATTTTTCTTTAGATTTCGTTCTTAACTTTAATATATATTTGATAATTTATTGTTACACACTCTCTATTCATTCATTGGGGTATCATCTAATGTCATGTCATCCAATTCATCCAATAATTCATCAATAGCGATTTCTGGTGCATCTTCATCATCTTCATCATCCATTTCATCGACTTCTTTACGTGGAGCTTCTTCACCAGCTTTATACAAGTTAATAGTTTGTCTCAATTCTTCATCTTCTTCTAATTCTTGCAAGAACAATTCGTAATCTCTTTCGGCCTTTTCTTGTTCTTGTCTTGCTTGTCTGCTATCGTCATTGGCAACAATATCGTTGTGCTCTCTTGCCATTCTCTTCAATTTCCATTTTCTATTCTTGGATTTCTTAGATTTTCTTGCGTAGTGCTTCTTCACTATCACAACATCAGGAGTGTTGTCTGTATCTAATGTGTCCCATAAATCTGAGTTTAAATTTGTATTACTCAAGTAGTATCCCAAACAAGAATCACCAGGATGCAAAATACCACCCAAATGGGTACGAACGTAGAAACTTTGATCGTTGGAACCCATATCACTAGCACGACAGACTTCAATATCGGCCAATACGTATTTGCCTCTGATATCACCAGTTGGCTCAACATCTAAAACAACAAATTCGACTAATTGGGTAGCATCCAATAATGATGGGAATGGACTTCTGAAATAGACAGGAGCAGATAAGTCAGCAATTTGTAAGGTATTTGAGTCGATAAACTGAATAGAATTAGTAACTTTGTTACACAATACCAAACGGGAGATATTACCCATTGAATGAGCCAATTTCTTTGGCAATACTACCAAATCATCACGACAAATTGGAGCGATCTCAACGGAGTAAGAAAATTTATAACTAGAAGAACCAGAATGTATATCCATACTGACCAATTCTTCAGATTTTTTAACCTTAATTGGGGCAACAGCTTGTAAGAAATCGACCATTTTAGCAGCATGGTTCTTTTGAGCATAAAAGAAATCCAAACCGTCTCTTGATTCTTGAATGGAAACAGTGTCAACATGAGCATTGTGCTTCAAAATCAATTGTTCCAAGTATAAGAAGGTTCTTTTATGTGGGACTTTTTGTCTGATTTGAACAGTGGCTCTCCAAGTGTTGGTAGTATAGGACTTGGCACAATCTGGACATTGCATAGCGATAACGACGTATTCGACCTCAAATGTTTGTTGAACAATAGTGTTAGCCATGGCTTCACCTTGAACCGTCAATTTGACCCTGATTCTTCTAGAATGGGGTTCAGTCCAGATGAAACTTGCATCAACCAATCTGACCTTATTTAAACCTTTCAATCTTCTAAGACATAATGCTAGCAACTCACGAGATTCTAATTGGGCTTTGATCCACTGACCTGGTGGTTGTAAAAATCTTTCACAGTTTCTACAGAAAGAAACGTTTGCTTCTCTTGGGATACCCTCTGTAATATCGACATTTAATTTGATACAATCGTAACACATTACTAATCCCTGAGATCCGTCCATAGGAACACCACAATTACAACATAAAACAGTGGCCATTTGTGCCCCGCCATCTTGATTGGCAGGTGTCATTTGAGTATAGTTAGACATGTTTTCTTGTACTTTTAAGTGACAATCAATAGCTTCTATAATGAAAAAGATGGCAAGCTAGTGTGAAAGAATTTTTTTTTAGGCAAACAAAATCATATTCTTAATTTCAATTATTTTTTTCTTTCTCTAGCAAAAAAAAAAAAAGTCATCTCTCCAATCACGTGCCTGGATGTGTACATCCATTTATTTTATTTTTTTTTTTTTTTTTTTTTTTTCATTTTGTTGATTCACACACAACTTCAAAAACAACAAATCGGTCAATTGTTTTTAGCTACATTTTAATCCCAACCCCACACAAAACAGCAACACAATCAATTAAATTAGTTTACTATGGTTGATAGAAAAAGAAGTTTATCTGTTAAATCTGATGATGACGATGAAAATGATGATGTTCCATTACATAAGAAGTTCAAAGTAGATACTAAAGATGAAGACACTGAAGGTGACGGTGAAAACAAAACGGACAATAAAAATTACAACGATGAATCGAATGGAAACCATGCAACTGAGAATGGCAAAAAAGATAATGAAAATAAAACTGAGACTGGAAATGCCCACCTAACAATGGTGATAATGCCATTGAGAATGACAACGAAGAAGAAGACGAAGAG